CCTCACCCGCGTGTTCCCCGACGTGTCTCAGCAACGGCCTCGTTAACACATAGTAGTCCGAAAGCTTGGCCGAGCTTTGGCCGCAACGTTCGGCCACGTGTGTATCCTTTCCAATAAGTAGGGAGGGGGCCGGGCTTCGCCGTAGGCGTCGTCGACCCGCTGCCCCAGCTTCCGCGGTGGACAAACCTCCCTTTAACACACCTCCCCTCAGTGAAAACGGCCTGGGACCGGAACCGACGGACCTGGACCCGCGAAAATGGCGGCCGCGACGCCCTCTCGCGAACCGGAAACGGCCAATTCCTCAACCGACGTGTCAGGGTAGGTCTGCCCACCCCCCACAGATTGGCCTGCCACAGGGGGGCACGGATTGCACGATCGCAGGCAGCTGTTGGCCCGTCCGAGAGGTACTCGGCAGGCCGTCGGCCCACCCCGCCGACCACCGGCAGCGACGCGTAAAGACCTCGACGTGAGCACAGCATCGTCCCAGTACGGCCAGGACGGCCACCACGACGCCTCCAAGACGGCCATCGAGTTGTGGATGCCACGACAATGGACACCCTGACAGTCCTATCATTGAATTTTAAAAAGGTGCTTGAAATGTAGGAACAAGTTCTAAACATGTTTATAAAACATGTCAGTTTCACACGTTTGACCCATGTTGCATACATGTTTCAGACATCTGAAAATGATTTGGCAACACGCTTCCTCTCCACTGATCGTCCTTCACAACCATAGAGCACCGATGGCCCAAGATGGCCTCCAAGACAATTGCAAGACGTCTCCACGACGGGCCGAAACGTCCCCAAGATGGCCCCAAGAACTCCCCAAGGTAGAGAGGTGGAGGCCTCCGGGACGGCCCAAGATGCCTTCAAGAGGACCTCCAGGAAGGCCAGCGGAGGCCAACCCCAGTGATGTCCCATGAGTGTTCGAACAAAAAAATGTGTGCTTATTGTCGGGCTCTCCGACGGCCCCAGACGGCCCCAGAGGCCACCACGATGGCCCCTAGAATAACCAAGGGGCCTCCGAGCTGGACCTCCGAGACGCCCAAGATGGTCTCCAAGACGGCCCCGAAGCGCCCCAACATGGCACGCAAGACGGCTGCCGACGGCGTCAGGCGGGCGAAGGACGCCCTCGGACAGCCAAACAGCCCCGCGAGAGGCCCAAGGAAGTCCCCCAAACGACCCCAGGAAGCTCACAGGAGGCCAAAAGAGTGCCCCAAGAGGCTCCCAAGGGGCCTCCTCCTCCTCCTCCTCCACCTCCTCCTCCTTTTCCTCCTTGCTCCTCCCTCTCATCCTCTCTTTCTTTCTGCCTACGTGTTCACCGAAGGGTTTCCACAACGGCTTTGGAGAACACGTAGTCCGATAACTTGGCCGAGCTCTGGCCGCATCGTTCGGCCACGCAAGTTCCTCAAAAAGCAGTGGGCGCTGGTGATTCGCCGTAGGCGTCTTCGATCCGCCGCCCACTGTTGGCTTGCCACAGGGGTGCACGGCGTGCCAAATTTGAGGTCGGTCATGGTTCGTTTTATCGAAGACGCCAACGGCGAATCACCGCCGTCCCTGCCTATTGGAAGAGCCTATGTGGCCGAACGTTTCGGCCAGAGCTCGGCCGATCATTGGACTACGTGTTCCCCCAGCCGTTGTGGGAACCCTTCGGAGAACACGTGGGGAGAAAGAAACAGAGGAGGGGAGGGGGGGGGAAAGGAGGAGGTAAGAGGACCAGTGAACACCCAAGATGCACCACCGATGTTGCAATACAGCCTCCCTCCAAGCTCCCTCTCCACAAGCCGAATAACAATGGTGCTCATTGCGGGCCCATTGAAGACAAGCGTTTGAGAACCCGCAGTCGTGCCAGAACAGAATTCATTCGACTCCAACGTCGCGGATCAACAAAATTGTTGCGTCTTGACCGTGCAAAACAGCGCCAGAACAATGTTCCTGGAAACTCAACACCGCGAATCACCGTGGCTGTTGCGTCCTGACAATCCTCAATCGCGCCAGAACAACATTCCTGGTACTTCGGTAACACGCATCCTTGAACCTTTTGAACACATGTTTGACGCATGTGCATTTTCGAAGGCGAGAGCCGCATTTTGAAAATGGCCGTCCCTCCATCCGAGAAGCTGTTGCGAACTGTTCAGCGCACGTGCGCGGCACTGACGCGAGAACACCGCTGTGAAAGGGAACCGCCCTCCATCCGCGAACCTGCTGCCAACTTTTATAGAGCGAGCGTGCGCGGCGGTAGAGCGGGAGCCACATTGTGGAAATGATGTGCCCTACCTCCGGTACAGCTGCTGCACACTTTTTGGGGGGGAAAAAACGAATACACCCTGCGAGATGCTTAAGAAATCATGCGTTGAGAAACTCAGAGTCTCAGAACTTGAATAAAAAACCCAAGATTCCTACTTAAATCTTAAGATTTACACTGCAACGTTAAGAATAATCGAGACTCTGGCCGAAAACTAAAGTTTTCTTAAGCATCGCCTAAGGTGTATGCGCGGGGCTGGGGCGAGAAGCGCTTTGTGAAAACGGCCCCACCCTCCATGAAGGGGCCCTGGGACACACAAATAAATACACACAAATAAAAATATTCCCCATATTTTCCAATATTTTCTGGGTTTTTGTGTTCCCGCCCAATTCCCATATTTTCCCATATTTTCTTGGGAATCGACGATTAATTGTGTCTGTGTGTTTTTTCCCCTCCTGACTCCACCCGTGGAGCTGCTGCAACTCTCAGGCATCGGCCGGAAAAAACGCCAGGCCCCGCCCTGCCGACGCGCGCGGATAGAGGGCTGCTGGGGGCCAGGAGGAGGAGGAAAAGGAGGAAAAGGAGGAGGTGGAGGAGGAGGAAAAGGAGGGAGGAGCACCCACTGCTTTTTGAGGAACTTGCGTGGCCGAACGACGCGGCCAGAGCTCGGCCAAGTTATCGGACTACGTGTTCTCCAAAGCCGTTGTGGAAACCCTTCGGTGAACACGTAGGCAGAAAGAAAGAGAGGATGAGAGGGAGGAGCAAGGAGGAAAAGGAGGAGGAGGTGGAGGAGGAGGAGGAGGCCCCTTGGGAGCCTCTTGGGGCACTCTTTTGGCCTCCTGGAAGCTTCCTGGGGGCCTCTTGGAGCCCTCTTGGAAGCTCTCTTGGACCTCTCAGGGGCCGCTGGAGGCTCCTTGGGAAGCTCCTTGGCCGTCCGAGGGCCGTCGTGGCCCGTGTGAACCCGTCGAAGCCGTCTTGCGGGCCTCTGTGGGCCGACTTGGGGCGCTTCAAGGCCGCCTTGGAAACCATCTTTCGCCCTCTTGGGGCCGTCTTGGGGGCCTCTTGGGCCGTCAGGAGGCCGCCTCGGAGGCCTCTTGGGCGCTCTAGGGGCCATCTCGGTGGCCCCTGGGGCCGTCTTGGGCCGTCAGAAAGCACAAGATGAGCAAACGCCCACATCCATCAACTACCCAGAGACGTGCCCATCCCTTTCTAGACATGTGGCGGCTATACCCAGGACCGCTCGATGCAAAAGAGCATGTTGACGGATCCGCAAAGCGCAGGAGCACCCAGAAGGTGGGCCTCAAGATGGCCCACGACTGCCCAAGAAGCCCCCAAGCGGCCTCCCAGACTGCCAAAGGGCTGGGAATGGCAGTGGCGTAATTCGCAGCCCCCAAGGGGGCCGCGAGGTCTGGCCTGGACTCGTGTGTCACTTCACGCCGTTGAGCCTCCCAGGAGCCCACGCAAGGAGCGACAACTGCGCCATTCGCAACCACCCAAGGAGCCGCGAGGTCTCGCATGGATCTGCTTGTAACCCCGCTCTGCTGGACCTCCCAGGAGCCCACGAACGTAATTAGCAACCACTTCGCACGTCGCAGCCCCCATGAGCCGCGAAGTCTCGGCTGGATCCGCGTGCAACTCCTCTCCGCTGGACCTCCCAGGAGCCCCCGAAGACTGGCGGCAGTGCCGCACGTCGCAGCACCCCAGGGAGCCGCCAGAAGGAGGAGGAGGAGGGAGGGAGGCAGGAGGAAGGCGGCGAGAGGGAGGGATGAAGGGGAGGAGGAAGGGAGTGAGAGAGAGGGAGAGGGAGGAGGAAGGGAGGAAGGGAGGGAGGGAGGGAGGGAAGGAGGGAGGGAGGGAGGGAGGGGGGAGGAGGATGAGGAGAGGGAGGGAGGGAGGGGGAGGGGAGGGAGGGAGGAGGGAAGGGAGGGAGGGAGGGAGGGAGGGAGGAGGAGAAGGAGGAGAAGGAGGAGGAGGAGGAGGAGGAGGAGGAGGAGGAGGAGGAGAGGGCAGGAGGTAGGCTCGCGCAGGCAGTGCTCCAAGGGGCCTTGGGCCGTGCCCTGCCCCCGGAGGGCAGGGAGCGGGAGGCAGAAGGAAGACGAGGAGTAGGGGAAGACGAGGAGGAAGACGAGGAGGAAGACGAGGAGGAAGACGAGGAGGACGAGGGGAAGACGAGGAGGAGGAAGACGGGGAGGGCGAGGGGAAGACGCGGAGGGCGGGGAACGCGGTGCTCCAGACTCGAACCACAGTCCGGGCAGCGGCGGTGCTGCGCGACGGCGGTGCTGGAAACGAGCGTGGAGGGCACCACGAGCCACACTGCCCCACAACTCTCCGTCTGCGAATGGATCGAGCGAACGCGGCACAGCGAAGTGCAGGACCGCGCGAGCCACGGGCTCCCACACTGCCGGCGCCTGCGTCGCCGCGGCCCGCATCGCCGCCGGTCCGCCCACGGTCAGGACGAGGGCCCGGCGCGGGAGGGCCGGATGTGACGCAGGAGGCAACTGGCCATCGCTCGGACGTCCATTCCCTGTGCTTTTGTAGGTTTCGTGCGTGGTTTGTTCGCCAAGTGATCAAGGATGCTCCTCGATGGTCCTCGCCGAAGGAAAAATGCACACGCCCCAACGATGCCAAGGCAAGGGGGGGAGGAAGGAGGGCAGCGACCACAGTGCTCGAGTCCAGACAAGCCAACACAGGGGGGCTGGAACACACCTGAGGACGTTCCATGATTTTTGGGGTCCCGGGGGTGTTTGTTCGCTCGCGGTCCTGTGGTTGTACACGCTGATCGACCCGTCGTTGTTCTTGTGTATCGTGAAGCCAAGCTTCTGGCATACAGCTTCGGCCACGCGCAGCTCCGTCTCCGTCATGCCCGCGAAGTCCTTGCACCCGCCATCCTCCAGTATGGAGAGCTCTTCGAACAGACGCTGCCAAATCTCATTATTCTCCCGCGGCTTCCTGCGTTTTTTCCGCCGTTTCTGTTCAACCCCTCTTGCCTTTACACGACCCATGGCTACATGCCTGTCTTCCAGGTCCAGTCTCACATCCTTGAAGAAAGCCTTCCATTCCTTCCACGACACAGAGCTGTCACCGTTGGTGTTCATCTGCGCGAAGACGCGCGTAGCGGGCAGACCCGCGACCTCTACCATGTTGATACGCAGCATGACCATGCCCAGATCCCATGCCATCATCGGGAAGCACTTCTGGTTCGCAACGTCGAAGTAGCGAAAAGCCTTCCTCTTGTAGCTCCCGAGCTTCGCCATCAGCACGTAGGCCACAGCCTCGATCCCTTCCAGGGCAAGCTCCCTGATCTCGTGCTGGATCACCTGCTGGTCCTCCAGCATACCGCGCTCCTTCGAGCCCAGACCCTCCACGTCTGCCTGGGTCCCCTCGCCGGCGAGCAGCCTGCGGACGGCGGCGCTCCCGTCGGCCGGGCCGCCCCCAGACATCCTGGCCTGCTCGAGGGCCGCCCGCAGCTCCGCGCGGCGCAGCGCAGCCTCGGAGCCCTCGTCCTCCTCCTCCTCCTCCTCCTCCTCGGAGTCCGAGCTCGAGCTCGAGCTCGCGTCCGTGGCGGCCTCGCCATCCTGGAGCGAGGCGAGGCCGTCCGCTGCCGGGCCGTCGAGGGCCTGTGGCTGAGGCTGCCCCGCCTCCTGTGCCTTGCCGGCTTCGTCCTCCGCGGCCTCGCCCGTGCTGCCTCGGCTCTCCCCCTCGACCCCGTCGTCCGCGCCCTCCTCGGCCGCGCCCCCCTCGTGCTGGCCCTCGCCCTCCGGAGCCTCGCCCGCGTCCTCGCGCTCGTCTCCGTCGCGCCCCCCCGCGCCCTCGGCACCGCTGCCAGCGTCCTCCTCGGCCTCCGCCTCGTGCCCGACCTCGGCCTCGTCCTCGGCAGCCTCTGAAGGGGCCCCAGGACACACAAAGAAATACACACAAATGAAGGGATTCCCCATATTTTCCAAGAGTTTGGGGGTTTCTGTCTCCCCCTCCACTTCCCATATTTTCCCAATACTTCTGGGGGAATCGACGATTCACTGTGTCTGTGTGTTTTTTTTCCCTCCTGAGCCTCGCTCGGGTACTCGGCCACGCCCCCCTCGTGTCGCCCCTGGCCCTCGGCGGCGCCGCACGCCTCCTCCTCCTCCTCCTCCTCCTCCTCCTCCGCCTCGGCCCGCTCCCCCCCGGGCTCGCCTCCGCCCTCGCCCTCCTCGCGCTCGCCCGCGCCCTCGGCCTCGGCCTCGCTCCCCGTGGCGTGGGCATGCCTCAGGGAGATGAGCCTTGGCGGCGCGCCAGGGGAGGGCTCGGGGGCGGGGGGAGGCCTCTTCGCAGGAGGCTGCCCCTGAGAAGGCGCCAGCCTCACGCCTGGGGAGGCAGCCCGCGCCTTCTGAGGAGCGGGGGTGCTTCAGAGAGGCCTTCCCTCCCCCCTGCCCCCCCTCTGCGCGTGGCCGAGAGCCTGGCGATCGCGCGCATAGTGCGCGGTCGCCTGAACCCCCTTGTCAGGCCGACCGACTGCCGGCCACCGTTCTCGCCGAGGTCGACTTTGAGGAGCTCCTGGTGCTCTGTGTCCGTGAAGTGCTCGTCCCAGAACTTTGCCCACGCCTCCTTGCCCACGTGGAACTTGTCCGTGGCGTTGTGCGCAGCCATCATCCTGAAGACCTTGCTGGGCTTCAGGGCGCAGAGCTCCTGGCAGTTGATGTGGGCGTTGATCAGCCCTGTGGTCCACTGACCCACCGAGAACTCCTGTGCATTGTTGTAGTCGATTGTGGAGTGTGCACGGCCCAACGACCCGAAGTGCTTCACTAACGCCTCGGCGAGACGAGCGATGCTTGTCGGCGCCTCTTCCTCCTCCTCCTCCTCCTCGTCCGACGGCACCGATGCGATGCTGCCGCCGTCATCCTCTGGCGCCGCATTGGTGGCCAAGCCGAAGGCATCGCTGGTCCATCGTCTCTCATGTCCCCGGGAGGCCTTGGGCCGCTCGATGGAGATCTTGACGACCATGCTCTGAAGCTCGACCAGCATGGCATTGGTGTCGCCCCTGACGCCGTTGACAGCCACGATAAAATCTCCAGGGCGGACGCTCGCGGTCGGGTTGCTGGAATTCCACCTCTTATGTAGCATCTTCGGGGGACCTTGCCTGTCCCGTCGAGGCCTCGTCCGCGTCGAATCCGTGTCGAATCCATGTCGGACTCGTCGGATCCGCGTCGACTCTGCGTCGGATCCTTGTCGGATCCACGCAGCATCCGTGCCGGATCCTTGTCGGATTTGGGGGACAGGCGATGCCCCCAGAAGATGCAACGCAACACCTTCCGAGCATGCCGTCCCCCTCCAACGACTGGATCCTCCAGCCGCGCTGCTCGTGGCGCACGATGTCGGCACCCAGCCTGTCGAATGTGAAGTTCTTTCGCAGGAACACCTCCTTGAATGGGGCCCAGGGACAAACACAAAGTATAACCGCATGCCGATGATAAAAAAGGGACCCCCCTTCAGTGTTTAGAGTTGATTATCGTCGCCCTATACAAAATTCAAATTGGGCGGCGAGCGCTGAGGCCGAACTTCCTTATCACCTCGAAACGCTATGTTGAGATAGCAACATCAAGCGATGTTGATATAGCAACATCAAGCGAAGCGATCACACTTTTCAGGATGTGTCAAGCGAAACCAATAATTTTGGGAGGCAGACTCAAACGAAACGAGCAATGTTCTTATTATTATTATACTTTCCTCTTCTTCTTTTATATTTCTATCTGTCCTCACGCTCGCCTGAACTTTTTTATCCCTGGGGTTGATTATCCATGGAAAATGAAGCACATGAGCTACCCTACACGAGCACTTAAAACAAATCGATTTTCATAAAGCGCTTGTAAATTAAAATTGATAGATTTGGAACTTTGGATTTGTCCTTTCTTCGTCCTCTTCTTATTATCCTCTTATTCTTCTTTCTTATTATTCTTCTACTGTATTCTTATTCTTTTATATTTCTCTCTGTCCCCACGCTCGCCTGAACTTTTTTATCTCTGGGGTTGATTATCCATGGAAATTGAGGCACATGAGCTACCCTACACGAGCACTTACAAAAAAACAATTTTCATGAGAGATAAGCCATTGTTGAGGATATTTCTATGAAAACTAAACGCCAAGGATGTCTCAAAACGTGCTCGGCTTGGTCTCCTCTTGATCATCTCTTACTTCGAGATTATGCTGAGGTCTGCTGGGCTACTTTTATTATCTCTCCCTGAACCCCGAACTTTATTATCCCCTAGTGTTTATTCTCACGGGCATGAGGTTACACAATCCCAGGATTCCACATAGTTTCCAATATTGTCTGGATGTTCGTCTTCCCCCCAACACTTCCCATACTTCCCCCTGTTTTCCTGGGAGTCGAAGATGAATTGTGTCTGTGTGTGTTTTCCCCTCCCGATTCCTGCACACGCGAGCTCGGACTCGGTGACACTGTGCCCCGTGCTCCAGTGTCCCTGGGGGTCAGCATTTGCTTCGAGGAGCTCCTGCGGGCCGCCGCTGCTTGATGCACCCACATGTGCTCATGGTCCTGCATAGACACCGAGCTGGTGGGGGAATTCATCCCATCGGCCGTCGGATCCTGCCACTCTGCTCCAGATAAGCTCGCGAGCCGCGACCTCCTCCTCGTGGTTCTGCGCATCGGCTCAATCCCTTCGTCACCAGCGCGGGGCGAATTCGCGAATACCAGGCTGCCAACTCGAGGTGGCGCATCGCCGCTGCCCGGCATCTGGGCCCGCGGGCCTGCCTCGTGATCGTGGTCCCTGGCGGATGAAAAGCCAGCGGTCATTGAGCGGGACTGTGAGCGGATGCAAGATCGCGAGGCAGCGTCGCCAGTGCCAGGCATCCTGGGCGAGGGACCTGCATACTGGACAGGCTGAGGAGACAAGGTCGTGAGACGCCTGTTCGCTGTCAGGTTCCTGGCAGACAAGGGCGTGGGCAACACCAGAGTTGGTCGGCGCGACGAACTGCGCGATTCCATCGGTGACTGCGACGGAGACAGCGGCAACGGGCGATCGCCTCCGTCCAAGCACAACGGCCGGGGACGATTGACCTTGTCGATCAGGTGGCCAAGCTTGTGCCTCTCATCCTCCTGATCGGCTTGAGGCTGCTGGCCCACGAATTGATGCGACTCCAGATTCTCTATCTGCGCCTCCAGAAGCGTCGACGACATGCTCGCGAAAGAGGTGCTCTTCCCCACGGCGTAATCATCAGTTGACATGTGTAGCGTCGACATGCTCTCCAGGGAGGCATGCTCCACGCAATCGTCCTCCGCCGACACGGGTGGCAACCGCATAGGCTTCTTGTCGCTCTGTGGTCCCGGTTGGTGCACGAAGGGTTGTCTCCGAAGGGCATCGTGGCCCAAATTGTCAGAATCAGAATCAGAATCAGCAAGGACGCGGCTGAATAGCGAAAGACGACGGCGCGGAGCACGTGCCCGTGTCGTCGACGGGACGGAGAGGTGCGGCAGCGAGCTCCTCTTCATCGCGGCAGACGAGGCGGCCCACGAGCACGACAGAAGGCTCCGCAGCAGCCGCTGCTGAATCTGCACTGCTGGCGCGCGGGCCTGCGCGCGAGCCAGTGCTGCGGAAGTGGACACGGGAGCCCTGCTCTCACTGCCAGAACATGCCCAAGACCGATCCTCCTCCTCCTCCCCCTCCTCCTCCTCCTCCTCCCCCTCCTCCTCCTCCTCCTCTCCTCCTCCTCCTCCTCCTCCTCCTCCTCCTCCCTCCCTCCCTCCCTCCCTCCTCCCTCCCTCCCTCCTCCCTCCCTCCCTCCCCCTCCCCCTCCCTCCCTCCTCCCTCCCTCCTCCTCCCTCCCTCCCTCCCTCCCTCCCTCCCTCCCTCCCTCCCTCCCTCCCTCTCCTCCTCCCTCGTCCTCCTCCGCCCCGCCCGCTTTAATTTTGCGTAAGTGCCAACCTGGGCGTGCGCAGTCGGGGTTCAGCTGATGTGGACACGTGGCCTTACTGAAGCTGCGTCAGGGAGGAAAGGTCTGAGCTGAGGAATGCTGTCTCTGGATGACGAGCACCCCCGCAACTGTTCGAGCCAAGTCGCGGCGCGATTGCGAGCCCCTGCCCGAAACCACGGGGCCTGTAAACATGGAATACGCTTCCCCACTTAAGGGGGCAGGGGGGAGGCGGGTTGCAAGGCGTAGACCGACTTGGCGTCAGCTCACGTCGCCTGGCTCGACTGGCCCGGCTCACTTCGCCCAGACTCGACTCGCCTTGCTCGATTCGCCCGGGCTCGATTCGCCAGCCTGATTCGGCGGTGGACAAACCTTCCTCTAGTAAACCTCCCCTTAGTGTAAACGGCCCGGGACAGAAACCGACGGACCTGGACCCGCAAACATGACGGCCGCGACGCCCCCTCGCGAACCGAAAACGGCCCATTCCTGAATCGACGCGTCAGGATAGGAGGTCTGCCCCCCTCCGATTGCTTTGCCCAGCTCGACTCGCCCGGGCTCGCATCGCCCGGCTCGCCTCGCCCGGCTCGACTCTGCCGAGTCTCCGTTCGCCCGAGGGCCCGGCCCTCGACCACGCAATGGCTGCTCGCCCAGCGGGCCGCCCCTTGTGAGGTGCGCCCGCCCGATCCGACGGGCGCCCGTCAGGGTCTCCTCCTCCTCTTCCTCCTCCTCCTCCTCCTCCTCCTCCTCCTCCTCCTCCTCCTCCTCCTCCTCCTCCCCCTCCCCCTCAGCCCCTCCCTTTCCTCCTCCTCCTCCTCCTCCTGCTCCTCCTCCTCCCACCGCCCTTCCCGACCCGACCCGCCCGTTTAGGTTGTGAGGTTCCAACCTACTTTGGCCTTGACCACCAGAAAGAACCTCGAGCGCGCCCCAAAACTCGAGAGGGCTTTCTCGCGTGTCGGGCCCTGGGAGGCACTGCTTCGACACCCTTTCGACGCTCTCTCGACACTGTTCTGGGAGCTCGAAATCAGTTCTGGGATGTGGCCCTCAGAGACGATGGGAGCATCATAACGGTTAGGGCTCGCGCGTGCTACCCTGCTGACGCATCATGCTTCCATGCCCCGCCCGCCCGACCCACCACGCCCGTTAGGGCCCGCCCGCCCGACACGACCCGCCCGGTGAAGCTAAAGCCCCCGCGAAAGAAGCCCCGGCGAAACGAGCCTCGGCGCACCCAGCCCCGGCTAACCGAGCTGGGCAGATCGAGCCGGGCGCCTGGCGCAACGAGCCCTGGCGCAGCGAGCCCCGGCGAAGCAGGCCCCAGCGAAAACAAACCCCCGGCGAAGCGAGCCCCAGCGAGCCGAGTCTGCAGCGAACCGAGTCCGTGCCGGTTACAAGCGGTATGGACTTCGCAGTGGTGCGAAGCTCGTCGGCGCTTTTTGGGGGGGGGGGGGGGGCCGGGGATCGCAGGTCGCCGCACGCGGGCGGCCCAGGTCGGCAGCGCAAGCGGCTCCTCTGAGAAACATCCGCTGCTCCTCTGGGAGCGCCTGAAGCACATTGAGCGACGAAACGAAGCGAGCCTCACGCGAGATGGCACGGCGACCTCACGCGGTGGCTCACGCGGGCCGCCAGCGCGGCACACCGCATGCGAGACGGGGGCGCTGACGCGCGACCTCGCGCGGGCAGCGAACGCGCCAACGTGGGCGAACACGGCCCCGTTCCTCGGCGCCGCTCGCCTGGGATTTGTGGAGGCCTCCAGGGCACCATGGCCCCTGGAGGTCCTGGGGCTCAGCGGCACGCGGTAATACGATGGGGACGTCTCACAGTCCCCCCCCCCCGTCTGCGGCATACTCCAGGTCCCAGACTCTGTCAACAGTGCTGCTGCTGTTTCATCGGCTTGTCCATCCAAGCGGGCCTCAACGCCAACTATCTGGCCGCCGCGCAGCCTGTAGGAATGGTAGGCCCACATCGACGCCGCGCTGGGCCGCATCGATGCCAATCGACATCCGCCAAACGCGCATCCCAAATAAACCTTGAAAATGTCGGATCTACGTTGAAGTCGCGGGTCGTCAGTGACGCGTCAGCAGTCGTAGCCATTGCCCCGTCGCCGCTTGCGCTCCTCGTGGCACACGCGTCCGTGCTGCCCGTGCCTAGGTCCCGCCTGTTTCTCCTACGCGGGACCACGTGCCACAACGTGAGGGCTCGGGAACGGAACTTGTCCTGGGCGGAACAGTAGGAGCTCGACCACACGACACCTTCCACAAGAAACCCAACCCGAGACCCCAGGACGTCCATTGATTTTTGGTGCGGGGACGTCACGCCTTCCATAGCCAAACCATCGAAACCCGAACAATCCAGGGCACTCTGGAGGCAAGTCTGACTTTTCTTGGCATGGGTTTCCACCGCAAACAACCCTCTGTATTAAATGGCACCCTGTTTGCAGAAAGCCCCAAGCAGCTTGCCACAGTCACGCTAAGGGGGCCGCCATGTGTGCAGTCACGATGGGAGGCCACGATGGCGGTGTCGTGATACAGGCAAGGATGTGGATTGGAATGTACGGCCAGGGGCTGGGGATACGGGGACAGGGATAGATGTATGCACAGTCTCCAGAGCAGTCTTGGGGCTAAGCTAGGAATCATTGTCATATGGATAGAGATCGGGGCGGAGAGACAGGGATAGTGACTACCTACCAGACCACCCCAACCCAACCCGAAGACCCAAACTTCATCAGAATTTCGGGTTGGGGGGCGGTACAGGTTACATACGTGTTTTCTCATGCTCCTCGAGCCCCCCCCACTGGAAATGGAGGTCAATTTGAAGCCTTTGGGTTGGGTTGGGGGGGTGTAGGTGGTGGGATAGGGACGGCAGTGGGACGCCACGGGAAGCCACGGCAAGGAACGGGAGGCCACGGGAGGCCGCGTCGCCCCAACGACTTTGGATCCACCGACCCACCACCGGGAGACCACGGGAGGCAACGTCGCCGAACCGATGCTAGATCCGGCGGCCGCCCTTCTAGTTCCTCGGTCTATCTATATATATACACATCCATCCAACCATCCATCTATCCAGCCAGCCATCCATCCGAAACACATATATCCATCCATCTTGACAAACAACCATACACACATACACACATACACACATACATACGTACATGCATACATACATCCATCCATACATACATACATGCATACACACATACCTATATATGTATATATAAAAATTCATGCATGCATGCATACATTTATGCATGCATACACACATACCTATATGAATACATGCATACATATACATACACGTACACATACACAAATATCTGCATGCCTACATGCATGTATACATACATGCAGGCATACATACATGCAGGCATATATACATACATACATACATACATACATACATACATACATACATACATACATACATACATGCATGCATACATACATCCATACATACGTACATTCATACATGCATGCATGCATGCATGCATGCATGCATACATACACACATACATACATACATACATATATGTATACATACATACACACACATACATACATACATACATACATACATACATACATACATGTTCATATATATACGTCCGTACATACATATATACATACATACATACATACATACATACATACATACATACATACATACATTCATACATACGTACATACATACATACATACATACATCCGTAGCCATTTTGGCTCAAGGTCCGTAGCCCTTTCGGGTCAGGACCTGGCCTCACTGGCAAGGGGGGAGCAGCGGCCCCCACAGTGCTCCTCCTCGTCTGCCAGGCCAGACGAGGGATTTTGGCTTCTCCCGCTCTCGAGCAGCTGTGGCATGGTCCCCGCGCCCCCGCAGCCCCGCTCCCAGAGCGGCTACCAGACCCGCTCCCAGAGCGGCTACAAGACGTGCTATGGCAAGAGCTCATGTGGGTATCAGTATAATCTGGTGGATTGGGCTCGCTGCTACCGCTGCAAGAAGTGGCTTCGTGACGACCCTCTTCGGGACACGGTCAAGGGGCCTCCCCGTCCATGGTCAGGCGAGCAGCAGTCCAAGGATGCATGGCACCAGGTGGAGTCCACGCGCCGCAGGTCGAAGTCGGGTCCAGTCACGAGCGCTGACCAGTCCCAGGTCGGGAGTGGGAAGGGCGGCACGGCCCAGCAGCGCAGAGGCAAAGGCTCGGACACTGGCGGCAAGCAGACGCAGCGCGACCACCTCGCGGCTGCGGTGGAGCAGCTCACGCTTGCTGGGCTGGCTGACGACCACCCACTCATGGTGGCCGCCAAGGCTCAGGTGCCCTCAGCTGCTGCAGCTCAGCCCGACGAACGTGGCCCACCGCCGTGGATGCGCGTTCGGTCACATCAGGACAAGCTGGCGCACTACCAGGGCCAGCTTACTGCATCGAAGGCGACGGAGGCCAACCTCCGTCAACAGATCACGGAGCTGGAGCAGGACCTGGAGGACTGCGTTGCATCCCAGGCGGCTCTGGCGGAATCGGTCAAGAAGGAAGAGGAGGAGCTCCAGAGGCTCCATCGACGCGCTGCTCTTCACCCTGCTGGCGATGACAGCAAGGCGGCTGTCAACGGGCTGGTGGAGACGCTGTTCGGCCATCTTCCCGAGTCGTTCAAAGTGGCGAAGGCGGACCAGCTTCGCACCGCGGTGGACCTCCTGG